GCCCCCCCAACCCCCCCCCCCAATCACAAACCCCTGCTCTGAGCCTCCTGCACTCCACCCTGCACTTATTTTTTTCACAGATATTGTCATATCATCCCCCCATAGCCCTCTGTCCTGAGACACTCTTCCCCGCCCCCCCGGGGGGGGGGTGTCATACAAGAGTACCTGTAAGAAATTTAAGTTACTTTCAACCTGGCTCACAACATCATTTTAATGGGTCACCAGAACTGGCTTAGACTTGCTGATGCTCAGGGCCAAAGCTCAAGCTCCTCTGCCAGGAGCCAAAACCAAAGCCCCATGGCTTCAGCCCAGGGCATCAAAGCTCAGATTACAGGCCCCTGGCTGGGTCTGAAGCACTTGGACTTTGGCATGGGGCCTGCCCACCCTGCAGTGGTGGGGCTCAGGCTCGGGTCCCCCTGCTGGGGTTGTGTGGTAGTTTTTGTTGTCAGAAGGGGGGTTGCAAGGCAATGATATTTGAGAACCCCTGCAATATACGGATGGTGAGGCTAATAGCTATTATTAATATTATATCTACCAGTCAACAACATCCCAAGCCTCTTATCAAGTGGAACTAGATTTCTTCATTCCAAACAGACTAGTCAAACTACCATTTGTGGAATGTTGAAATGAAGAAAAACAACAAATTTCTTTCATGGCTTTCAGAAGCTTTTAAACATGGAAGGGAATTGGTCACCAAATGAAATTAATCGACAGCAGGTGTGAAACAAAAGGAAGTTTTTCTTCACTCAGCGCACAGTCAACCTGTGGAACTCCTTGCCAGAGGATGCAGTGAAGGCTAGAACTTTAACAGGGTTCAAAAAAGAGCTAGATAGATTCATGGAGGTTAGGTCCATCAATGGCTATTGGCCAGGATGGGTAGGAATGATGTCCCTAGCCTCTGTTTCTCTGGAAATGGCTGTCAGGAAAGGGATCACATGAGGATTACCTGTTGTGATCGTCCCCTCTGGGGCATCTGGTATTGGCCACTGTTGGCAGACAGGATACTGGGCTAGATGGATCTTTAGTCTGACCCAGTATGGCTGTTCTTATGTTCTTATGTAAAGTGCATCCCTGATGTGTAATGAGATACCTGGGAATGGTTCTGATTGACTGGAGTGTGCCAGGTGTCTTGGTCAGAACATAGTCCATCTCTTAGAGAATGTTATACATATTTTGTTCTTGCATTTAGCTGCTTCCTGGAGGTTTCTGGTCCAGATGTGTCTGGTTTATTGACAAACACAATGTTCCCTCTAATTTTTTTCCGTCCATGTGCAGAATAAATGTGTCTGCACTGAGGCAAGTGCCCATGTGCCCCACCAATAGAAACACATGCTGCTGGCTGTGGGCAGATGTGTGTGCTCTGCCAATCAAGTGGGTGGCACTGAATCTCTCCTGGGCAGTTGCCCAAGTGCTCAGCTTACAAGAAACACTGGACACAGGCTTTCACTGCACAGCCAGTATACACAGTTGTGGAAGACACATTATGGAAGCTATATTCCACTGGGGCACTTGGATGAGTCATCAAAGTAAAAAGTTAATTTCTTATTCTAAGGAAACAGAGACTGATCCATCAGCCCCTTCCTCTGTAGCTGCAGGAAGGGCTCCAGCTGCAGTAGAACTAATGAGAATCCATTGATTGTGGGCAGTAGTGAGATTGCTGGGACCCAGCAAGGAGAGGGCTAATGCCTCCTGCATGGTGAGGATCTGTGCTTGGCTGGTACTCACTGTGCCCCAGAACACCACGTAATTTTAGACTAGGCAGAATGGAAGGGACAGAATGGGGAAAGGGTAAGGGGGACCCATGGTTATGTGGATGCATTCACTGTTCTCCACCAATACATCACTGGGATTACTGTAGTCCTAAATCTGCAGCAACAGCCTAACAGTAACATTATTGCTTCTGCTCCAGAGCTCCCAGAGTGCATAACACACTGCTCAATTACTGTAGCCTGAATAACTATGCATGATATGAGATGGAGGACACCAAGTTCCACGCTATCCAAAAGGGCCATCATACCCCACTTGGGCAAGTCAGCCTTTTGCAATGCGGACTTGCTCTTTCCATTGTAAAATTGAGATGTTTGGTTGACTGCAGGTAGGTGTGTGCCGTAGAACTTGGAGCAGCTTTTTGGGGGAGTAGGAGCAGTGTACCTCATGTATTAAGGCACAAGAACATTCTGTAACTGTACTCAGGAAACCTATTTTAATAAGTAACTTAGAAGAAGTGTGATGAAGAGCAGAGTGATTGCCTTAGCTAGGGCTTTTACTCTATATAAGCCTCTGGCATGGTCCTAGCCCTCCAAGAGCTTACAATCTAAGAATAAAATGAGACCTGGGAATAACAGATGGGGGAGCTTTAGGAAACAAGACAATATTGGTCAGCATGAGAGGCAGTTGTATTACACTCTGGTAAATTAACCATTGTCAAGTGTTTTGTAGGCATCACAGCAAAATAAAGTTGCAAGAGGGGATTTAAAGGTGGACAATGAGGTAGTTTTTCAGATGTTCACAGGGAGCTCCTCCCAAGCATGAGAGGCAACATGGGAGAAACATACCGATGCTTTGAAAATTCAACAGGTAAGTGATAGAAGCTGGCACGACTGGCCAAGCATAGGCGACAGTCAACATTTCTGTGTTTAGGGGGATAGTTCATAAAGGGCCTTGAAAGTCAATATAAATGGCTTATGTTTGATGCAGTAGAGGAGGAGGAGCTAGTGGAGGAATGAAAGAATGCCATGGTCAAAGCAACAGACTAAGAACATTGGCTTTGAAGCAGTATACTGGATGCATACAAGAGAGACAAGATTGCATTTGTCAAGGCCAAGCAGAAGGAGGAGTAATCAAGGCATAGATTACGAGAGCCTGGATAGGAGGTTTAGCTGTGTGACTGGATAGGAGAGGTTGTATTGTAGAGCTGTCACACAGACAGAATCAGTAAAATTTAGCCAGTGTACTTGTAGGGACATGGAGGGAGGTCTGGGTGAAAGATGGCACCCTGCTTCTGGCAGTATGGTGTTATCTAAATCATCAGGGGAAAAGATTGAGAATATATTGCAATAGCCAATGTATGAAGAGCTGTCTGCGAAACATCATCCAGGCCTGGCTCCTCCTTCAAAACACCTTGAACAAGCTGATGAAAACATATGATGTATGTGTATTCCTTTCTTCTGAGCATATTTTTGTTTTATTCAGTTAGTTTGCACATTTGATATGCTATGGAAGAGTACAACACTTACAAATAAGTTTGGTTAGCTTGCAGGAAAGTCTATCGGGGGAGGAAGGTGAAATGTACAGTATGTATTCAGTGACCCAGTCATTCTCTGTAACATCAAGAATTGTGTATTAAGTATCAACATTTGAACCCAGAAGGATGTTTTACATCCAGTGAACAAATATGAGATCCTCTTGCATGAGTTAGTTTTTCACAGAGTAGTTATTTGGCAAGCCTGGAGGTCACACATTTAACTGCATGTCACCATTTAGTAGTTGCCAAAGAGACTGCCAGGAACACTGATAACACAGGGTGAAGAAAACCAGTCTCAAAATAATAGACACTGATTAAGTGTTTGGGCCTGTCTGTAACTCAAATAACCAATCATATTGTATCCAGAAAACTAGCACTCTAATTGGCTGCTAGAGCTTTGCCTTGGTTCTTTTTTCCTTACCGTTCCCCATCGCTGATGAAGTTGGGGTAAGCTCCGGATACATCTCCCCAGGTCCCAGACAGTCTGTTTTGGGAAAAACAAAAATAGCCGAAAACCACAGAAAGGATACAAACTGTATCAACCCCTTAAATCACAGGTTCTCAAAGCCCAGGCCAGTAGCAATCTAGAGAACTGGGGAAAAGTGATATTGTACTGGGTGATACTATGGACTAGAATATGGTAAACTTATAAACCCCAGCAAATAGTCTGGTAACACTTTAAAGCCTAACAAAACATGTAAATGGTATCATGAGCTTTCATGGGTACAGTCCCCTTGTACAGGCTCAGGACTCAGAGGAAGTCAGGGTGGACTGTGCACACTTTACCATCCCTTTGGTGCGGGTTGTCTCTTCTACCTCCCGTTTTGGGCAATTTATGCTCCAGGGACATAACCAGGAAAAGCGTCCCTGAACAACTCAGGATGCCAGGCTTTGGATCTTCGCTGACCCTAGGCAGATGTATTTGAAGGAAGAGACCTTTTACATCTTCCCTTCTGACCATGCACACCCACATTATGGGCAGCTCCGTTGTATGCAGGCCTCAGTAGTAATACTCTGCACTTCTATAACATCTGCTGTCAGAGGACGTTACAGAGCTTCAGAGGCAAATGCCCCCATTCTTACAAACACACCTGCATGAGCAGATGCAAATTGAAAGAGACACACAAAAGATTAAGGAACCTCACTCTCCACCACCATCACATCTCCTTTATCCCCCCTGAGCAGGGGTGTTTCCAGCTTTTTATTCAGCCCATTAGTTACTTTCACCACCTGCTTGGAGGGAAAGGAGGAAAGAAAAGCAGAGCAGATGTTATTAGAGCAGAAGTAATAGAGAACAAACTGTTAAATAATTCTGACTGATCCACCTCATTCCTTCCCCTGGGGCATTCATGGACAAATGCTGGTAAATTTCCCCAACAAGTAGATCAGCAGACTTTGCTAGGAATTGCATAATAAACCAATGGCTGGGCTCCAAGCCACCAACTGGGGATAAGTGGTTGAGCAAACCCACAGTTTGCTATGTGCTGAAAAGGGGAGATTTGATATCTGGAAGCAATGGTCAAAACACTTCCAGTCTCTGTGAACTATGCAAGTCTTGGTTTTCCTACTCCACGCATCTGGAAAGACTGCAAGATAGCAGAATACTAATCCCATTCATGGATTATACTAAGGAGCAAAACCACTTATCCCTCCCAATACTGTGGGGCACAATCAAAAGGGGAGAACATCTGACCACACCACTCCGTCCAGCAACCCCTCCATGCTGCTCCCAGCCTGGGGTGGCCGCGCCCTCTGCACCATACCAGAGTTACCTGCAGGAAGGAGGTGGTGGCTGTATCCTGCTCTCACTGCCCCTTCTTGTCATGTTCACCCCCGGGCCCAAGCAGGTAGTGGGAGGGAACCTCTCTCAAACCAGCTGAGGCTGTCCACTCCAGCTCACTTCTCTGTGCAGTGCAGTAGCTGCCTGAGAGAGAGTCTGGCTGGGGAGCTGGTGGTAGCAGGCTGCTTCCTACCTGGGCCCAGCTGCCAGTGACAGGGGCTGAGTGAGCCAGAAATGTGCTGGGGGAAGAGAGGACTCTGGCTCACTCAGTCCTGTCCCCAGCAGCCGGACTCGGGCAGGAGCAGCTGGGCTCTTGTAGGCAGCCGCAACACTGCACAGAGCAGCAACTCAGAGAGACTAGTGTGAGAAGTCTCTGGTCCTGCCCCCTCTGCTCCCCACCCAGACAAATCAAACAGAAATCTGGAGAGGCACTTGAGACTACAGGTCTTCCCCCCGCTATGTGTCAACTATGCTTGTGTTTTGACTGAAGTTTGACCAAAGTCTAACAAAGCCTTAACTCGCTTGGGAAGAAATCCTTGGATTTAATTTGATTCCTAAAACAACAAAGAAGTTGAGAGACCAAATCTCTGAAACTCCACAGACTAACGCCAGCAGATAACCTATGGCATTTGGAGAAGCAGTTTTTTTTCTTCTTGTGTGGATATTTAATAGCGGACATTAAAATGTGTCACAGGTGCATGAAAATTGGGAGAATCATAGAACTGGTTAGAAGACACCGCAAGAGTCATCTATTCTAATCCCATGCTGGGATGCCTGGTTTGTTGTGTTTAACCCAGGGATTGGCAACCTCTCATATATGGCGTGCCAAGATTTAACTTATTCACTTCTATTTAGGGAGCTGTGTGCCGGGGGAGCAGGAAGCAGAAGTGCTGCAGCTAAGGAGAATGGTATAATTTAAATTATTAAACAGATTAAGCATTTTAACTTTCTCATGTTAGTTTATCACACTTTTATCAAAAAGTAAAATATTAATTTATGTCCAATAAAAAAGGTTTCAATGTTTTATTTATGGCAGGGGTGGAGAACCTTTTTATGGTCAGGGGTCACTGACCCACAGAAAAATCAGTTGGGGACCACTCAAGTGAGCAACAAAAAAACTCCTCCCAAAACCCCCAACCCTCACTGATGTGGCCCCCCGACTGAAACACCTCACTCCTCTGGTGCTCCAGCCCTATGGGGTGAGGAGAAGAGGCGGGAGGGCTGAGGTTCAGGGCTTCCCATAGGTCAGATTTACTTTTCTGGATTCTGGAGTTAATGGTTTTTGTGGACCCCCTTAGGCTCTGGGGTAGGGACAAAAATGAGGGGTTCAATGTGTGAGACAGGGCTGCCAGTGAGTGGGATAGGGATGGGAGTTCCGGATCTGGGAGGGAAGTGGGATGCAGAAGGGGGGGAGGTTGTGGGGTCTGGGTGGGAGCTAGGTGCAGAAGCAGGCTTGGAGTAGGGTGTCTGGCCAGGTGGAGGGAGCAGGAGGAAGGGAGGGTGCAATGTGTGACCAGGGAGCAGGGAGTTGATGGTGGCTCAGCAGGGCAATGCTACTGCAGGACGAGGGACAGGTGAGATTTTGCTTAAAGAAGTTCATAGGGAAGAGAATCCTTATGGTGATGTTGTCCAGCAGTTTGTTTCTCATGTTAGTTTCTCAAACTTTATTTTAAGTAAAATCAAATATTTATTTATGTCCAACACAAAAGGTTTCAGCGTTTTCTTTATTTATGGCAGGTGTGGAGATCCTTTCTTGTGTCAGGGGCCACTGACCTTCATTAAAAACAGTTGGGGACCTTACCAGTGAGAAGCAAAAGAACTTCCTCAAAAAACCCCAACCCTCAGTGATGTGGCCCCCAACTGAGACACCTCATCTGGTGTTCCAGCCCCCCCGGAGCGAGGAGAAGTGAAGGGACAGAGAGGACCTAGGTTCAGGGCTTCTCATAGGCCATATTTACTTTTCTGGGGTCCAGGAGTTAGTGGATTTTATGGACACCCTTAGGCTCTGGGGAGGGGACATAAATGAGGGGTTCAGTATGCAGAACAAAGCTGCCAATGATTGGAATAGGGATGAGGTGCAGGATCTGGGAGAGAGGTGCGATACAGAAGAGGATGAGGGTACAAAGTCTGGGTGGGAGGTAGGGTGCAAAAGCAGGCTGGGAGTAGGGTGTCTGCCCAGGGGAAGTGAGCAGGAGCAAGGGAGGATGCAAGAAGCAACCGTGGATGCAGGAGCAGAGTGGGGGTAGGATGTCTGGGCAGGAGAGAGGGTGCAAGAGCAAAAGCGGGGGTGGGAGCAAGCTGGGGGTGCAGGGTCTTGTGGGGGGGGGGGGGCGGACG